GTTATATCAAAGAATTTTTCCTAAAAAGAATCAAGAGCTTATGGAATAGTTACCACCTGGTTACTATACCCTCCCTTAGAAAATTAATTTTTCCCCCTTTGGTACCAGAAATTGAACCTATGGGTACTTAACCACTGAGCCACATTCCCTGGCCCTCTTTCATTTTTTACTTTGAGACACGGTCTCACTAAGTCGCTTAAGGGCCTCACTGAGTTGCTGAGGCTGGCTTTAAACTTGGGATCCTCCTGCATCAGCCTCCCAAGCTTCAAGCAGCTGAGATTACAGGTGTGTGCACATCTGGCAGAAAATTTATTCCTTCAAATTAAAAGGAAACCATAATGTGAAAAAAACCACCCTAATCAGTGAGGAAATGGTGCCACTGTTACTTTTTCACATAAATACTATGCATATTCATACAAAGGAGGCTTGAAATATTCAGGTATAGGATTTCCTACACATGAATTTTCTCATTTTCACAAAACAAGAAGACAAATCACCGTGCAAAACAGTATCAGCAACTTTCAGCCACAGCATCAAAATAGGAAGTTAGCCAGCAGACACTTTGCAGCCAAGCTAGGTCCTAAACAAAAAGACTCTTTTAAAGTACAAAGAAAAATGTTTTGCTTAAAATTTTTTAAAAAGGCTGTAACTGGCAAAATTTTTTCCTCAATGCTTGCCCCGAAGTTCAGTATGTAACTTCCTATTCTAGATGCCTACTTCATTAGTCAAAGAGAATGTAACATTCATCATTGTAAATATGCTTTGCAATTCTGAATACGCTTTCCAATTCTGAATGATGGATGGATTCTCTTTCCAATTTTATTTTCACCTACTTAAAATGTTTCTAAAGAAAATCAAAGTACTTTCCAGCCTCCACTTTTTCCCAAAGATTTCAAAGTTGAAACCAAATTTCAGTTTTTGTGTCTGATAGAAGGAGCACATTCTGCAGATGACAGCTATATTACTAATAGCAAGGATATGATCAAAACAGTAATTTCTGCTTTTTTTTTTTTGCTTTCATAATCTTGGGGACAGGGCACTGGGGATTGAACCCAGGGGTGCTCTGCCACTAAGCCATATCCCCAGACCTTTCTGAGACTACGTTACTGACTAAATTGCTGAGGCTGGCAAATTTGCCAACCTCCTGCCTCAGCCTCTCCAGTTGCTGGGATTACAGGCATGCACCACTGCGCCCAGTTTTGCTCTCATAATTTTAACACCAACTTCAAAATTACGTCTTTAAAAAAAACCTCCAAACCCTAAGATACAGTCAGTTAACTTGACCATCTGTATCACAGGCAGAAGATATAAGCATGAATTTGAGTCCTTAATCTGTCACTTGCTTGCTGTGTGACCTCGAGCAAGTCACTTCACCATTTTAAACCCCAGTTCCCTCAACTGGTAAGAGTCAGTACTTTTCCTCCACAAAATTGGCCGTGAGGATTAAATGAGAAGATTTGCATGAAGTACTAAGCATAGCAAAAACTTAAAAATTAGTCACATACAAGACATCTGTCAATATCTTTATATCTTTTTATAAGTATAGGAAATTATTAAAAATTTACTCCCCTGTTTTGAAACTCTCAGGGATTAGGCTGAAATTTACAATGCTTAATGGAAAAGCAAGACTATAAGGACCTACTCGGGAGGCACAACTTATTTAGGAAGGACCTCATTAAATTCATTAAATTTTTGTATATGCACATCCTTGAAACCCAATTAATGATAAATATGTATTTGAGGATTAAAAATGCAAGTCATTTTTAAATCTACAAATGTTCCATTTAATTATTGCTTTATATTGTTTAATATATAAAAATATATAGGGTATGGTTTTCCCTAGGCTAAATGGCTAAAGAATATAAAAAAGATTAGTTGGGTTAGCGCTAATTACAAACTTAAAGGTGCAACCTGGTGATGGCATTCACTCTGAAAGACCTTTGTAGGACTAGATAGGCCCTAGTACCTCAGACCCCTCCCTCCCTCCCTCCCTCCCTGGGGTTTTAATACACCTAAGCAAGTACACCAATAATTTCCTCTTCCCTTATTTTTATTAATGCAGATTAGAAGCTCCTAGTCTTGACTACCCTAGGATATACCTAATTATCTGTCAAGGCATCTCTGCAAACAATTTAACAGGCTGACCCATAGATGGCCAATGAAATACAGCCCTATCAGGCTGATTTTCCATCATGTGTTTCTGCAGGAGAAAATGTTATTAAGAGAGACTAGAGGGCTGCGGTTGTGGCTCAGTGGTAGAGCGCTCACCTTACACGTGCGAGGCCCTGGGTTCGATCCTCAGCACCACATAAAAATAAACACATAAAACAAAGGTATTGTGTCCAACTACAACTAAAAAATAAATATTAAAGAGAGAGAGAGACAGACAGACAGACAAGAGCTGGGCATGGTGGCTCAGGAGGCGGAGGCAGGAAGATTGGGAGTTCAAAGCCAGCCTCAGCAATTTAGTGAGGCGCTAAGCAACTCAGTGAGACACTGTCTCTAAATAAAATCAAATTAGGGCTGGGGATATGGCTCAGTGGCCAAGTGCCCGAGTTCAATCCCTGGTGTGTACACACACACACACACACAACCCCTGTTTCTGATGAGGGGCAGAATCAGTCTTTGGGACAGGAGTCCCCTATGTTTCTCCTTCGTTAGCAAAGTAATAAACCTTCTTTTACCTCTTTCTCAACAAACAAACAAACAAAAAACACCCCCCACACACACACAAAAGAGACTAGATGGGAATGCTTTTAAGAATGCAGCAGTTTTAACCACCACTTTACAATAACACTATCCTGAAAATAAATTTCTGGAAGCAAAAAAGGAAGAACAATAATTGTATGCTCTTATACAAACACTAATATGCACCATAAAACTGAAGCCTACCTAAATATTGTTATGCAGTACTGGGGATTGAACCCAGGGCCTCCCACATTCTAGTCAGTGTTCTACTACTGAGCTATATCTTCAGTCCTTTTGATTTTATTGTGAGACAGTCTAAATTGACCAGGCTGGCCTTGAACTTGCCATCCTCTTTCTTGCTTTAGCCTATAGGAAGCTGGGATTACAGGTGTGGGCCACCATGACCAGGACTAAATCTTAGTTTTTAATCAGAAAAGTTCTTAAAACAAAACAAAACAAACAAACAAAAAAAACCCCCTCCATTCTACTTGAGATCATGCGTAATTTTTGTTAAGAGATTCAATTGTCTTTTTCTCTTTTTGCACTGGGGACTGAACCCAGGAGGCTTTTCCCACTGAGTTATATCTACAGACCTTTTTAATTTTGAGACAGGGTCTCCCTAAATTGTTGAGACTGGCCTCAAACTTGTGACCCTCCTGCCTCAGCCTATAGAGTTGCTGTAATTACAGGCCTGCACCACTGCAGCCAGCTTAAATTTTTAAAGTTATGCAGTCTAAATATTTCACACATTGGGTATGTTGTGTATAAGTTGCACTGTTCACTATTTAGGATATTAACTATCTCATTTCTGTATGAAAAAAGTGACATAAAACTATAATGTATTTTTAAGGATCTGAAATACAAAAGTAGAAATGTGGTTATTTTTTCAATGTATACTATGGTTTTCCCATAGTAGAATAATGTAATAACAATTTACCTAAATTACTAAATTTCTCATGAGGAAAAAAAATCCTTAAAAATATAAATCTGATCAAGTTCCAAATGTCAAGAACGAGAACTACTTTATGTTTTAGTTATTTTGTAATGTTTACAAAATCTCTACCTTTTAATGTAAATATGTTAATTTCAAAGGTCATGATTTCATACACAACTTACCTAAATTCACATAATTAGGGACATTATAAAGGTTTGGGGGTGTGTTAATGTTATCTGTTTGAATTGCAAGTAACGAACTATCTATAATTTTTCCTAAGAAGACTAGATGAGACAAAAATTTAACAAGTATAGGTTTTATCCCATTATATTTTTTTTCTTATAAGGTCAAAGTCTTCGTAATAAATAAACATCTAGACTTTACAGTTAAGAGAATTCTAGTTGGGACAATAAACTGTTTATACAGGGTTTTTTAGATCTGTCTAGTGATTTTAATTACTTTTCCTTTTTTTTTTTTTTTTTTTTTTTAAGATTTTTCCACTGACCTATATTTGGGAATCTAGTTCAACTGTACAAATGGAATAGCACTTTATTACTGGAACAAAACAAGGAAGCAGTGTTCTCTTTCTCTCTCAGGTTCTGGTGGTAGCTACTCCTAAAAACTTTGATACCCTTCCTCACAGACTGACAGATAAAGGGAGGAAAAAAAGCCATGGCTTAAATCTCTAGGACAAGAAGTCTTAATTGCCAAAAGTCAACTGATTTGTTCAATTTGGAACTAGCCTAGCTCTTGGGACAAATCCCAGAGAAATTCAGATTATGATACTCTAGTTGTTGGCATATTTGTAGGTCACACATATTTGTAGGCACACTTTTAAATTATTTTCTAAAGTCACTACTCTTTCTAAACAAGTTACATAAATAGAAATAAAAAAACTAAATGTATTCTGGGGTAGAGTGTTTTCTGAGCCACAAATTCCACAGTCAAGTTTTCAATTTTTAGGAAATATTCAAAATTACATCTAAACTTATGCTGTGTTCAGTGGTCCACCCACCCTCATTCTATCTTATCAATCTTTACAGGAAACCCATTGACAACTGTTAAATAGAAAATAGAAAGGACTGGCTTGTAATTAGTTTTGTTTGTTTGTGGTACTGGGCATTGAACCCAGGAGCATTCTACCTGTCATTTTTTAATTCTGAGATGGGGTCTCACTAAGTTGATTAGGTTGGCCAAGAATTTGTGATCCTCCCGCCTCAGCCTCCCAAGTTGCTGGGATTTACCACCATGCCCAGCTATAATAATTTTCATATAGGAATGTGGGGGCAATAGAAGACTTGTGCCTCTTATCCCCAGTTACAGCCTCTTTCTCAACATTTTTCTTTTATTAATGAACAAAAAAAGTTTACAGACTTGCCTTTAGAGGTCGAAAATAGAGATACAGGCTGAGAGGAAGAGGAAGAAACAAAGGAATCTGAAAGAAAATATACAGTATGAGAATAACAACCTCACAAAGGAATTTTCATTTTAACTTTTTTTTTGGGGGGGGGGTCAAGCATCATAATTTCATTGGGTGTAGCAAAGGCGAAAATCCAAATCTTTATTTTCAGTTACTAATTCCACTCACCTGCTAGTGATTTATTTCCAAGATGCATTTCTAAAAGTCAATCTTTTAAAGACAAACATTATCACATTCAAAGAAAGAAAAGAGGAACTTCCAGCATTTTAGAACAACCACAACCTCAAGAGCAGATAGTGCCCCTCTGTTGCTCTGCATGGAGAGGGAAAGTAGGTATTGTTTTTTTTCTTTTTTTCTGGTACTAGAGAATGAACCCAGGGGCACTTTTACCACTGAGCTACACCCCCAGGCCTTTTTGATTTTTATTTTTGAGACAGGGTCTTGCTAAGTTGCTGAGGGTCTCACTAAATTGCTGAGGCTGGCCTCAAGCTTGGGAGTCTCCTGCCTCAGTCTCCTTAGTTGCTAGGATTACAGGCATGCACCACTGCACACTTTTTATTTTGAGACAGGGTTTTGCTGAATTATTCAGGCTGACCTTAAACCTGTGATCCACCTGCCTCAGCCTCCAGAGTGTCTGGGACTACAGGTGAGTGGCTGGAATCACAGGCGTGTATCACCACTCCTGGCTGAAGGAAAGCAGGTATCTGAATACTAATTAACTATCTGCTTTTAACTATTTTCACTTGTATTTTAAGGTATCAGTTACTAATAGAAACATGTGAAACATCTAATTGGCAAATATGCAAAGTCAACCCTCAATACCTATAACAAAAACCCACAATCCAATAGAAAAACATGAGAAGTTATACTCCTTTAATTTGGCAACAGAAGTCAAAATTTAAAATACACATATCCTCCCCACTTCCTCATTTCAAGCACATATTCTTCTTCTTCTTTTTTTTTTTTTTTTGGTACTGGGGATTACAACCCCCAGGGTGCTTAACCACTGAGTCACATCCCCAGCTCTTTTTAATATTTTATTTAAAGACAGAGTCTCACCGAGTTGCTTAGGGCCTTGCTAAATTGCTGAGGCTGGCTTTGAACTCTTGATCCTCCTGCCTCAGCCTCCCAAGCCACTGGGATTCTATACCTGCACCAGCACACCCAGCTCAAGGACATTTTTAAATTAATTAATTAATTTATTTTTTAAGGTATAGATGGTCAGAACATAGTTATTTATTTATTTGATGTGGTGCTGAGGATCAATGAACAGAATTTTATTTGTTTATTTATTTATTTATTGTGGTGCTGAGGATCAAACCCAGGGCCTTGCAAGTTAGGAAGAGTGCTCTACCGCTGAGCTACAACCCCAGCCCAAGCACATATTCTTTTAACTCAGCAATTATACTTCTAGGAATCCATCCTACAGACTTATTTGTATACATATACAAGAACATGTGTGTGAATATTTATTCATAAGAGCACTAGGTATAAGTACAAAAAATAATCTCTATGACTACCAATAGAAGACTAGTTAGAAAGTTAAACCTAGCCAAGGAACAGTTATCACATGCCTGGAATTACAGGCATGGGAAGCTGTAGATCTTAAATTCTTAAATTCTAGACCAGCTCGGGCAACTTAGGAGGGCCATCTCAAAACTAAACTTTAAAAAAATGATCAGGAATGTAGCTCAGTGGAAAAGTAATTAAGTACAAAGTTCTGGGTTCAATCCTTAGTACAGGACGGGTGGAGAATAAAGAAAAAAAGAGAAAGAACGAACAAGTTACAGCTATACATGTTGATATAGTCTGTATTTTACATTTAGAAAGCAAAGCAAAGTGCAACAGTGAATTCAGTGTGACCCCATGTGGTCAATGAAAACAAAAGGGAGCCAGGTGGATTGGGAGGCTGAGGCAAGAGGATCATGAGTTCAAAGCCAGCATCAGCAAAAGCAAGGCCCTAAGCAACTCAGTGAGTCAGTGTCTCTAAATAAAATATAAAAATGGGCAGGGGATGTGGCTCAGTAGTTGAGTGCCTCTGAGTTCAATCCCCGGTAACCCTTCCACCCCATCCCAAGGGACTAATGTAAGGGATTGGAACATCTGGGATAGGAGGGAGATTTGTTTTTCAATATAATCTTTGGCTCTTAAGAAAACATGACCCTTTCAATAAAAATGGAAAGAAATTAATAAAAATAGCTATGTGAAAAACTCCAAATATGCCCCTAAATATATGGCACTTTATATATTAACTCCCTTTTTTTTTCTTTTTGGTATCACGGATTGAACCCAGGGGCACTTAACCACTGAGTCACATCCCCAGCCATTTTTATGTTTTATTTAGAGACAGGGTCTTGCTAAATTTGCTGGGGCTAGCTTTGAACTCATGATCCTCCTGCCCCAACCTCCTTAGTGGCTGGGATTACAGGCATAAAACACCATGCCCATTTACCTCTCTTTTTTTCTTTGCAATTACAAAAAACTTTTTCACAAATACTAGAAACATACTTAAAACTAGCCAGGTCAAACATCTGTAAACCCAGCAATTTGAGGGGCTGAGGCAGGAGGATTGCAAGTTCAAGGCTAGCCTAAGTAATTAGCAAGACCCTGTCTCAAATAAAAACATAAAAAAGACTGAGGCTATATCTCAGCAGTAGAGCTCCCTGGATTCAATCCTCAGCACCAAAGTTTAAAAAAGTAAATAAAGAAAAAAAGAAAAGAGAAAAAATACTCAAAAATAGAAGACTGGTTTCTTTAAGGACTGAGCCAGAGCTGTATCTATAAGTATTAATTTAGTAAAACTATTCAGTAGTAATGGATACAGAGAATATTAACATCGAGGCAGAATTTAGTGGCTATCAAGCAGTAACTCAACAACTAGAGATCAGAATTTAAAAATTCACTGCTTTTAAGTTATCTTAAAATGAAGCATAACATTTATGTTAAAAAGCAGTCCTTTTCTTCTTAAAAAGAAGTACATTTACCCCTCTAATGTTTCCAGATGAGTTCATTTCCATATGCATTTACTATCAACATTAAATCTCCACCAACTAATGAGTTTAACAAACTCAAAAAACAAAAAACTGAACAAACCTGAAAAACCAAATGCTTTAGGTAACCAATGCCAAGAAAGATCCTACGAACTTGCCAGCTGTCTACCTTTGCACTTCCACCTAAACACCTCCTCCTAATGGAAAATTTCAACATGCCAATTTTTATGCACAGCCTCTGTTCTGATAGAGAACACAGATAATCAGTAGTTTGTACCAACATGTCATGAGATTTCTAACTTACAAAATCACACAGGGAAGTAACTTCAGAAGGGTGATCTTAATCCTGAAATGCTAATAATGAAATCGTTTTCTATAAGCAGCTAAAGCCAGGCACTGCAAAATATTGCTCAAAAGTAGCTGAAAAAGAAATATAAACCGGTAAGACTATGATGATTATGGGAACACAGCAGAGGCAGCCACTAGGGTAAAATTAAGATTGCTTCAGAAGACGTGGTAACCTTGGTCTTAAAGGACATTCAGCAGGTGAACGAGGCAAAGGAAGACATTCTGGAGACAGAACTGGCCACATTCCAAATGGCTTTAAGTGTCATCTAATGAAATCTGGATTACATCCTTTGTGCAGTGAGAAATCACTAAATGTCTTTAGGTAAAGAAATGACATGATAGCATGTTTTAAAAAGAACTAAGCATGAACTGAACTAAAAAATGACTGCATAAACTTGTCAAGAGATGTCGACTTAAGCTAAAATTGTGAGGATGGAAATGAGGGGGCAGATTTGACAAGAAAGAATGGACAGGACCTGGAATCATCTGACTGGGAGCTGGAGACTGGAGACGTAACAAAGAGGGACTAAAAGAAATGCCACTAGAATGATTGCCTTATATTATCAATTTTCAATAAAAGAGAAGTTAAGGCAGATTAAAGTGAAAACAGTTGAATGGGCAGTTCAACAAGGGGGATGGTCTCAGGAGATTACTGGATAAAGGCTGCAGATAGGTATCTGGGAGTTAACATTTATGTGATCATTGACACCACTGGAATGAGATTTGCCTCGGGAGAATAAGAGAAGTTAGGAGTTTATGGTTTGGATTTGAATGTCCCCCAAAGGCTTGGTCCCCAGCTGTTGGTACTACTGGGATGTGAGGGAAACTTTAGGAGGTCAGTCACTGGGTGCATGCCCTTAAAGTGTACATATCTTATCCCTGGCTTTTTTCTTTCTCTCTGCCACTGGGTGAGCAACTTGCTCTGCCAAGCCCATGATGTTCTGCCTCACCACAGGCCCAGAAACAATGAAGCCAAGTACATGTAAAACCTCTGAATCTGTGAGCCAAATTAAAATTTTCCTCCTCTAAGTTGATTTTCTCAGTATTTTGTCATAGTAACAAAAAGCTAACTAACACACAAAGGAATCTTAAGATACACCAATATTTAAAGGGGAATAAGAAAGAAGGTGAAGGAGACCAAAATGAACTGATACAGGAGGAAAATGGTGTCACTTGGAGAATGCTTTAAAGAGTAGCTAGCAGAGGCGAAGATACTGAATGGTCAAATTAAGACAATTTTAAAAAGAGTCACATGAATTAAGCAATCAGGCAATTTGGCATCGATAACTCTATAGTTAGAGTGACTAAGGGGTGGGCGCAAACACTGAGACTGGGGAATAAATGAAAGTTTAAAAATCACCAATAGGGCTTGGTATGGTGGTGTACATGCCTGTAATCCCAGTGACTACGGGAGGCTGACATAGGAGGATCCCAAGTTCAAGACCAGCTTCAGCAACTTAGTCTCAATCCTGTCTCAAAGTAAAACATTTAAAAAGAGAAAAAAGCGTTAGGAATATGGCTCAGTAGTTAAGTGCCCCTGGGTTCAATCCCTGTTACCAAAACCAAAAAAACAGCCAAAGGGCCAGGGCCATGTGCACTGGCATACACCTATAATCTCAGCTATTTGGAAGAGTTAAGCTCCACCTCCTTGAGAAAGGAGAATCTATATAAACTGGC